ATTTATATTTTTATTTATTTTTTATTTATTTTTATCTAGTTGTTTGTTTGTTTGTTTGTCTGTTTGTTTGTCTATTTATTCGGCTTTTTAGTTTTTTTTTTGGTTAGTTAGTTGTGTTTATATGCATATTTTTTTTTACCATACGCTGCAACACAAATATATTTTTTTTATTTATTTTTTTGTTTTTTTATTTTATTTTTTTTTATTTATTTTTATTTAGTTTTTTTGTTTGTTTGTCTGTTTGTTTGTCTATATTTTCATATATTTAGCTTTTTTTTTGGTTAGTTAGTTATTTAGTTGTGTTTGTTTATCACCATAGGCTGCAACACAAGTTTATTTTCTTTTTTTTATTTTTGTTTATTTTTTATTTATTTTTATCTAGTTGTTTGTTTGTTTGTTTGTCTGTTTGTTTGTCTATTTATTTATGTATTTAGTTTTTTATTTGGTTAGTTAGTTGTGTTTATATGTATATTTGTATATCACCATACGCTGCAACACAAATATATTTTTTTATTTCTCTTTTTTTATTTTTTTATTTTTATTTATTTATTTATTTTAATTTAGTTGTTTGTTTGTCTATTTGTTTGTCTATTTATTTATGTATTTAGTTTTTTATTTGGTTAGTTAGTTGTGTTTATATGTATATTTGTATATCACCATACGCTGCAACACAAATATATTTTTTTTTTATTTCTTTTTTTATTTTTTTATTTTTATTTATTTATTTATTTATTTTAATTTAGTTGTTTGTTTGTCTGTTTGTTTATTTTTTCATATATTTAGCTTTTTGTTTGGTTAGTTAGTTGTGTTTATATGTATATTTGTTTATCACCATACGCTGCAACACATATATATTTTCTTTTTTTATTTATTTTTATTTATTTTTTATTTACTTTTATTTAGTTGTTTGTTTGTTCGTTTGTTTGTTTGTTTGTCTATTTATTTATGTATTTAGTTTTTTATTTGGTTAGTTAGTTGTGGTTATATATATATATATATATATATATATATATATATATATATATATATATATATATATATATATAT